CAAATAAATGTTAGACAATCAAAACTTTATTGTGTTTTATGTAATAAAGCTAAAAAATAAAATTTATAACTTATCTAAAAAAAAATTGGCATTTATTACAAAATATTAGAGTTATATATATATATAAAACAATGATTTTTAAAAAGTATATTTAGTTAAATATTATTAAATATATTAAAATGTAAATAATTGATTGTATTTATGATAATGATTTTTGTATTGTAATAAAATTTGAAATATAATCATTCTACTATAATTTATAAAAATGCAGTTCTTATACTATTTTGATTTGATAAAATTTAGTCTAATTACTAATTCCATTAAATTTTTATTGTTAAAAATACTAACATGACCATTGACTTAATGATGTAGGTATTAACTTTTATAACATAGCATTGACTTTATTGATGTGACAATATGAATAAATGAAATTAATTGTCAAATTATGTAAATAGTCCTTATATTTACATAAAATTTGAATTTTAGTCCTTCTAGTATAATTTATAAAAATCTCATCCTTACACAAGTCGAATTTGATAATACTGATCCAATTATTAATACGATCAATTACTTTTTGTTAATTTTGCTAAAATAACTATTATCTTTTTAGAAAAAATTTGAATATTAAAAACTTTTAAAATTTTCAAAAGAAAATATCTGAAAATTTAAAAAAATGATTAAAAAAGTAAAAAAAAATGAATTTTTAGGTTTTTCATATTTTTAAAAAATATTAAATTAACATTTTCTAATATTTAATCTTTTAAAAAATAATATTTCTTGAATTTTTTAATGAAAACTAATGTTATAATAGTAAAAAATTCAAAAGTTATGAATTATTGAAAAATTTTATTCATTTTTTAAAACATTAAATTTAATTCTTTTTCAATATTTTAAATTTTTTAAAAAAATATTATTTCTTTTATTTTTTTAAATTAGATTTCAAAACTTTTTTTAAAATAGTTTTCAATTTTTAGAATTTATATATTTTTTTTAAAAATAAATTTAATTTTTCCAATTCTTTAATTTTAAATATTAAATTTAATACATTAAAAAAAACAAAATAGCCTTAAAATTACAAATATTTTATATTTTTAAAAATTCTAATTTTATTAAAAAATAAAAATATTAGTTTTTAAAAAATAAAATATTGCTAAATATTACAAAATTCATTGAAAATTAATTTTTAAAAAATGAAATTTGATTTTTCATAAGAATTCTTTAAATATTTTTTTAAGAAAATTAAAAAATTAAATTAATATTTTAAAATCAGAAAAAGATTCTATATAATTCAAAATTTTGTTTCTAAATTGAAATCTGATTGTTAAAAAAATTCAAGAAATATGATTTCTAAAAAATTAAAATATTTCAAAAAAATTAAATTTAATATTTTTTTAAAAATTCTAAAAAAGCACAAAACATCAGTTTTTTTATTTTTTTGGATTTTTTTAATTTTTAAAATTAAAAAAATTAAGATATTTTTTAATTTTCAAATAATTTTTTTTAAAAATAATGGTTACATCAGCAAAGATAATGAAAAATATTGATTGCATTAATAATTAGACTAAAATTATCAAATTTAACTTGTATTAGGATGAAATTTTTATGAATTATACTAAAAGGATTAAATTTTAAATTTTTTATGAATATAGAGGCTATTTGTACAATTTCACAATTAAATTTTTTTATTCATGTTATCACGTTAGTAAAATAAATGCTACGCGAATATAATCAACTCTTACGTTATCAAGTCATCGTATAAATAAGTATTTTTAAAAAAATTTTGATGAAATTAGTAACTAAATTAAAATTATCAAACTAAAATAATACAAAATTTACATTTTTATAAATTATAATAAACAAACTAAATTTCAAATTTCGTTTTTTAAATTGTCAACTCAAATGTAGTTGTGGATTTAACATCAGAAACAGTATCTATCAAGACGAGCCAAATAGATTGTTTTGCAAAGAAACATGTTTCAAAGAATCAAAGACCCATTGGAAGTGTTTTCAAAGAAGCAAATTAACTGTATATTTCCAGATACACAAATATGTAAAGGGTTAATTCTTTGTCCATTTATGATTGGGATACCCCGGGCAGTACCCAACAGGGCAAATAATTACCTTCAATTTTCCAATAGAACAAAGGGTATATCAGTAACCTTAACTTGTCCCGAGAACTGAGAAGTGAGAACCTTGTAAAAGAGTTTAATCATAGCTTGTTGAGTTGTACTACATCCGATCTTTCTTCGAGTTGCATTTAAAACAACACTATTTTCTTTCATTACAATACAAGTCATTCGTTCTCAGTTTTGTTTCTTGCTCTTTTTCTAATAAAAAGTAGTAGTAAGAAAATGAAAGTCTTACATTATGTTTAATGAGTAAAATTTAGGGTAAACTAAATGGTGTATTTTTAACTGAAAGTTAATTAAAAGAAAAAAAAAACAAAAAAAAACCCTCATCAAATTCAATTTCTTTGACGTGATTCCCACCAGCAAGAATGAGAAAGAATGTAGTATAGAGGCTACGGTTAATCTCTCCAGGTTTTCGAGAAGCCTTAATTTTATTTTTTTTTTAAATTACAGAACATCTCAGTTGGGCTGCAGCCAGCAAGGTAGGATTCCTTTCTTGTCATTTGTTATGTAGGCATTGTCACAAGATGAAGATGTTCGTTTAATATAATGTTGGAGATTCTACAGTTTCTCTTATAGCTTTATAGCACCATCGAAAATATGATATGAATGTATGTATGTGTGTAGTATATATATGTCGGTATTTGAGGGGAAAGTAAAAGGTGTACTTGATTTTTAATTTACTCATAAAATGAACTAGTCGATGGTTTGGGTGATTAATTATGTTATCTATATTCTGTAACATGGTTCAAAGATTAATTAATAGTTCATGGGATCTTTAAAACTGAGGGCTTTAAAAATATGGGAATTTATTATGTTCTGCTTGTTTCAATTCTGTGTCTTGGTTATGCATTATTCTCAAACTAATTTTAGTTCCATTTTTATTTCTACTTAGATATTCCTTCTCTATAACCATATTGATTCAAATAATTAGCTTAATTAGTACATTCACTTACAATTGCTAGTTTATTTTTATCTTTTCTGGTTTATATGCAATGATTGGAACTCGATAGATTATGATCAGTGTCCCCTACACATTTTTATCTTCTTGATCTTTCGTAGTAATTGTTTTAGTGACACTAATATTCTACTTTACTTTCAATCAGTTGAATATTGTCTGCAACAATGTGCGTGTCTGCCAACGAAAGGCAAGTAACTGCTGCAACTCAACAAATGTCTCAAAAGATAGATTTAGTAGCCTGCCTGAAAAGTGTTTTCTACAACATTCTTTCCTGCCTTCCCACTAAAACTCTTGTGCAAACCAGTGTTCTGTCTACGAGTGGCATTACCTTTGGACTTCTTTTCCATGCCTGAACTTTGATGAGTTTACAGGATTTGGCAACGATTCTGCCCCAAAGGCAAGAGCAACACGCTTTATGAGGTTTGTTCATAAGGTTTTATTTCTCCATGGCACTTTAATAGAGAAAGTTCATTTTAACTGCTCTTGGGAGTGCCATAAGTCTTATATTTACACGTGGATACGTGCCATGGTGATGCGCGGAGTTAAAGAGATTGCATTTTCAATTCAGCATTCTTACATTGTAGGATCTTTTCTCTGGTTACCACGGGCGCATATTCAATTTCCCCATTGCCTCTTCAACTGCAGAACTGTGGTGGTATTGAAACTGAAGTTTAATGGAGAAAGTCTTCAACTTCCTGCTTCATTCTGTTTTACTGAACTTAAGACCACACACCCTGAGAAAATTCTGTTTAACCATGGCAAATTGATCTCTAAATTGTTCTCCAACTGCCCAAAACTTGAAAATCTTTTCTTGGACCGATGTGCTGGTTCCATTGTCTTAAACATGTTTAATCATGCACTTAAGAGCTTGAGCATAGATACTTTGGGAGCTCCTAACTGGAGGAGTTTTCTAAAGATCAAAGTTTCTTGTCAAAATCTTGTATCATTTGTATACAGAGGTCCAGATGTGGGTTACTATTATTTTGATTATTCACCATCGGTTGTTTGTGCTTCACTCGAATTGGTTTCTGTAAACAAAAAGAGTGAACGGCCTATAAATCAAGTTTTTGTTGCTTTTCCTAGCGTTAAGGTTTCAAGGCTGTCTTGTCGGTTAATTGAGGTATACTTTATTTTACTTCAACTGTTTGATTTCTCTTTTGTTTGATTTCCCAAGTGCTGAACTAAGTTTAATTTATTACAGTCTTCAAAACTTTGTGTTTTATGAAAAGAGGCATAATCATGTTTGTTTAAGCAGCTGTTATCCTCGATGCAAAGTTCCCTGGATTGGTTGCCCATCTTTTATCAACTCAAGCATCTAAGCCTTTGTGCCTCTATTTACAAATGCCATCTTCGAGTGATTAGCTTCTTACTCAACCACTCACCTAATCTTGAAGTGTTTTCCTTGGAAAGTTTTGAGGTAAATCTATTTCATCAGTGGCTATTTTTTTCATTACTCATCCAATTACTAGGCATCTGAAGTACTTGTTTTTCACCATTTCTTATAGGTGTTATGTGATGACCGTGAATGCTTGGAATCAGAAAAGTTGCCTTCTGATTGCATACCTAAACATCTCAAGGTTGTTAAAATTAGTGACTCGATGAAGAAGAATGAAATCATTCTTGGAAAGTGCATATTTCTTAGAGCAGATTGTCATTGAGTTGCAGTCTGCTGATTTAGAGACACAAGTGGTTTCGAGTTAGAAATTGTTAATGCTTCCAAGGGTTTCAAGGAGTGTGTGATTGACTTAAGAAGGTAAATAATTCAAGTCAAATTTCTTATACTAGCAACTGAAATACAAAATTTGTTCCAATGGTCAAACAATTACTTGAGAATAATTCTCTTTGGACCATAACAAGATTTTGTTTAATAGTATTTGATTAGCAATAACTTTATTCTTCCAATTGACTTTCATGAGTTAGGCATGCGGCCAATGAAAGAAAGAAGGGTAGTAGGGTAAGTTTACAGAAAGCCAGAAAATTAACAGAATGGTTGAGGGGGCTACGGCTGATGGTAGACTTTGCCTGAATCTCTTAAGACAGTAAGAAAAAGTTTTTCTGAACATGCATTGCTCTTAGTTCCTTGTTTTAGGTTTTTGTATGATGACCGGCAAAAACTTATGTAATAGATAATAGAATTACTGCTATTGCCACTTGTTTAACTTATTATGCAACTCTGCTGAATGCTTAATTATATTTTCTTTTTTATGGAGAGACCTTTTGTTCATTTCACCATGAACTTCATAAGAAACCCCATTGTTGGCAATCATCTTTCATGATACGCCTTTTGTTTCTGCCGCCTTCTACTTGTATTCATTAGCTTACTATTCCTAACTTTGAATAGAGCTATGAATGCAGTCCTGAATTTCATGAAATCTCTCCAACCCGTTCTACTATGGACGCCATTGAAATTATGGTATTAAATATATTTCCACACAATAGAAGAAAGGTCATGAAAAGGCCTTTGGCCAATTTCTTTTTCTTTTAAATATTTTTATGTAATACAAACTGTACACTCAAAATCATGAATGTTGGATCTATCCTCAAAATCAAAGCCTCTACATGGTGATATACAATCATCAACTACATAAATTTGTATACATACATACATACATACATATATATATATATGCAGTAAATGATTTCATCTATTTGTTTATGGGGGATTTATGCTGCTGCTACCCAGCTGTTTAACTTTCTTTGATTTCCAGGTGACTGATTTGTTTTGGATATATCTGCAAAAGGAAAAAAAACCAGAATGAAAAAGCGTGAGTTAGTTATCTGATGTTGTTGAATATAAATAACATATGAAATATCAAGCTGGTTTGGCGTCTGGTTTTTTTTTTTTTTTTTTTTAAATGTTGGTTCATGGCTTCGTTTGCAACAAGATAAAAAGGATTACACTTTTTTTTTTTTATTTGTTCAGACAAAATGGTCAGTGAGTTAATTACCTGAAACCGGGCATAGAAGAATGTCTGAGCCAAAAGGGTAGACTTCTCATATGGAAATCCTTTCATTTTTAATTTAGTATTTACTTCACTCTTTGTACTTGGAGAATCTTCTGATACCTTGGAAACCCATTCTTGCAGGCTGAAATCTGTAAACATAAAAACATCATTTATAAATTTTAATTCAGTTTTCATTAACATCTTTGTTTGCTTAAATCATCTATTTCTAGTTGAAAGATTGAAAGACTTGATAGCTAAGCTTTATATTTACTCGAACTCAGGTGCGTGCCGTATCTAGCAATGCGTTTGACATGGATATGTTTCTTTTTTTTAAAAGTTTTTTCATATATTTAGAAGGTCGGTCCATCAAATATGTGTCGATACAGATACTTGAAAAAAAAAGTAGAATCGGAGCAACATAAGCCTTAGCGGGGTTATTCTTCTAATTATTTTTTGAATGTGAACACTAGACAATACAAAAGTTGCTTTCCCAGAGGATAGCATGTGATTAGGATTAGCAAAAGGTTCCTCTAAGTTGCTTCTTTGAAAGTATTTTTCTGTCTTTGCCATGTGAATAGAATAAGTAGCTGGAATTCGATTTTGGAAAAGGTAAGCAGAAGTGAGCTTTAATGACCAACAACTTTACTGCACACGGCTTCTACTAGCAAAATTAGGAGGAATTAACCAGAGAAAGAAATTTCGATTGCAAAGTGAATTCTAAACATCCATATATTCTGATGTAAACATAGGATGAATGTGGGCACAGTTGCAAATGGTATATGCCATGTGGTCAAATATGGCATAAATTCAGTGCCCCATCTTTATGGACGGCGGCCCATGTCCAAGATTCGATGTATTTGTTTTTCCTTGGAATTTAAAAAAACATGACATGGTACCCTCTCAAGTCTATAACATAGGGTAACTTAAAAAAGGTCGCCCTTTTGTTTCTAAAGCTCAGATTAAACAGAATTGCAGCAGTCAGCATAAAAACTGCAAATAGGTGCATCCAGAAACCACAAGTGGGTTTGGCATTAACGCCGGGTAACAAAATTTGTGAGGTCACTCTCAGTTTTTAGCTTGCCTCTACAAGATATCCTAAAATTAGGCACTACCCAATGAAATCAAAAGATAATTAAACAGCTGACCTTCTAGAAGCACAAAATTCCAACTTTCTACAGTTTTGGTGTAAATTGGTGGACCAAATGAAATTTCCTTTTGCTCTTTCATTACAAGCACCTAAGATGAGACAATCAACGGTCCTGATTTTCCTATGCATCTAGTGCTGTATATTATAATTCATTGTGTTAATTATACCCTTTTAATTTGCTACTTTATTTAATTAATTGATAACTTTCCTTCTAATAATTAATTGATAACTTTCCTTCTAATTTATTAGATTACATCTGAAAGTCCTTACTGTCATGGAAATGGAGAGAGAACTTACAGCTTCAATGTCAATTTTGTAGACAAGGAGTTTTCTTCTTTCTCTGCAACTTGTTCTATATGCCACAATTATATGGGCAATTGCCAAGGCCAGCGAACAAATGAAAAGAGTAGTTTCCATGGCTATAACATACCCTTCTCTAGGAACACTCGAACTGAACACAAATGAAGCTTTTAATGAAACAAAAATCAAAGATGAAACAGAACAAATCATTGTAATTCCCAGATAAGGTCCCCTGGAAAGTCTTGGCCCATCACAAAAACTATAAACACCTGCCAAAAAACAACAACAAAAACCAATCAAACAAAACTTACAAAAGTCTTGGCTGGAAAGAAACAGTGATAAAAACCATAGTATTTGGTTTAGTTTTTTTAAGTATTTTATTTTTTGGTTACTTACAGATTATAACAGCTGATCTGATGATAGATATGAGGGGGATATCTATGAGAGAGTATCGAAAATCATAGTTGCTGAAATGGGAAGAGAGGGTTTTGAATGATAAAGGAGAAGGAGAAAGGTAAGCAGAAAGCAAAGCAGAAGGCAAAACGGTATCAGCAATAACAAGAAAAACCGGTGCAGAAAACATAAGAAAAGAAATCACCATAGTGATCAAGAAAAACACAGTTTTAACACCTCTCCAAATTCTTCTTGATTTCTCTTCCTTTGAAAAACCCATCTCTATTTGTTCAACTTTTTCTTTAGGGAAGGTGTTGGGGCTAGAAAAACCAGAGATTATGTACAAAGAAAAAGGCTTGAGGTTTGAAGAGGAAAATTAGAGCTTAAAAAAAAAAAAAAAGAAGGTTCAATGTTTTGACCGGACTTGTCCTGTGGAGGCAAGTGATGACAAAGACGTCGGAACTTTACACGCGGAAACAACTGGTCAATTGGATTAGAGGGAGGCGCCTTGTTAACGGAAATACCCATATACAGATTTTTAAAGGCCAATTAACGAGATTTTTTAGCGTTGTTATCTTTTTTTTTTATGCGTTGATAGTGTTATTTCTTAATTTTATTTGAATTTAATCTTTTTTCCAAAGCTTTTAAATGTATTTTTTATATTTATTTAATGCATTAAAATTTTAATTTTAAAATACTTTTCACATAAATCAAAATCTTAAAAAAAATAAAATACTCAATTTTAAATTAAACGTTTAAATTATTACTTAATTTATGATTAAATATTTTAATTTATATAAATAAAAATTAAAAATTATTTGTTATCAACTCGTAATAATATAAAAATTATTTTAATAAAAATTGAGATATGAAATATACGAGCCTTAACGTTTAAAAATCATTACAAATAAAAATAATGCGAAATCAAGTAGAATTAAGTTTCCTACAAAAAATAACAGATGAAAAGGTTCTTCTTTTCCTTTAAGCCTATTTCATTTCCCTTCTTCATTATCCTTTCTATTTGAAACTTAGAGAATTTAGAGTTTATTGTAGGTTTCAATTTTATTGAAATTAGGGAAAGAAATTGAAAAAAAAAAAAAGAAAATTGAAATGCTAAAGAGGAAGAATTTCAAAAAACCAAAAAAAGAATCATCCAAGAAGATGAAGGAGATAACCCTACCACCAACTCAAACGATGAAGAAGACAGAAAGTAATCTCTTTTTTCACTTTTTAATTAAATTAGGATTTTTCTTTTAAATTTTTTGTTTTGAAATTTTAATTTTGGAAATAGAAGACAAAATGGAAATGAGTTAAAAAAAAAACATTAGAATGTACAGATTGATGTTAGAGGAAGCGACATTCTTGCAAAAATAGAGGGAGAGGAAATTAGGAATCCTTGCAATTTCTATGATGCAAACTGGAAGCATCTTCGCTAAAGTTATTGAAAAGGGCGAACTTGATGGAGAAAAGGATAAGTTTGTTTTTCAAGACACCTTCCCTCGAGAAACTGTCGTCTTGGATGGACATCCAAACATAATATTAAAATTTGAGATTCTTGATGACAAAAATTGTTTGGGTTAATAATAAATCTTAAACTTAAACGTTGTCTGAATGATTTGGATAAAGTAAATATGCTTTGCGTGATTTTAGATCTTTGGATTTTTTGTTTTTGTTAATAATTTTTTTTTTGTCATTGGTTTGATAATAGTTGATAAATATATATTTTTATTGAATACTAAAAAGAAATTCAAATCAGCATTAAAGTATCAAATCAATTGGCTTTTAATTTTTTTGGTGCATAATTTCACATTTTAATTTCTGTTAAAAAAATTTTATATTATTATAAATTAATAATATTTAATTATTATTTATATATATTAAAACGTTTATTTACGACTTAAACAGGCAACCAAATTTTTAAGTTTATTTGATAAATATATTTATTTTTTTATTGAATATTAAAAAAAAACAACTAAATCAACATTAAAATGTCAAATCAATTGATTTTTAATCTTTTCATGCATTATTTTGGTGTGTATCTTTCATATTTTAATTTTTATTAAAAAAAATATTTATATTTTTATAAATCAAAAATATTTAATTTTTATTTATATAAATTTAAATATTTATTTTTAAATTAAACAATCAACCAAACACGTTTAATTTCAAATTTCAAATTGAGTATTGAACTAAAAAAAATTATTAAATTTTAGTATTTCATGTTACATCATTTTGTCTAGAAAAATAGACTTCATTTAAGTGCATACAAATACAAATTAAAACATGATAAGTGAAAATTGGAATGAGATAACGATTTTATAAGTATTGGTTTATAGAAATATTTACGTTTGTATCATTTACAATTGATTGTTATTCGGTTTTTTGTGTGAATTTAACTAAGATTCAATTTTAATTATCTATTCAATTTAACAAGCGGATATGGTGGAACCGACTGTTTAGGATCATGTGATCACGTGCAGAAAATTTTCCTCGAGAATCAATAGATTTTTTTTTAATCGTGATTTCTAAAGGGGTGTTTCTAAAAATTTTTTAATTTAACAATTTAAAATACCCAAAATGAGATTAACTTCTTTTTAACCTTTCAAATATTTCCCACTTATTACCATGCAAATTTGTCCTTATGCTTATAAAACAGTGAGGTTGGTACTAATTAAAAATAAAAAATATGTAGTTTATTATATAATTAATTATATCAATATTTTGCTATACATCAAACAACTTCAAAAGAAAAACATTTCATCCTTTGTTTCCTTCTAGAAATAGTCTAGGATTACCACCTGTCAAGTCAATGTTAGAGAAGGAAGCAAAATGAATAAATATTTAAAATTTGGCCATTTTATGGAGTTTGTCAAGGTTATATGTATAATAATTATAGCATCACCAACCATATATTGATATATTTATTTATTTGATATACAGTTTGAAAATTTTGAGGTTCACAGTTTGGACTTTGCATAAAATTTTTGACCTGGGAAGGTCTGAATTTTTCAGCCTTGTTGAGCTCATGAATTGACTATATAAAAGCTTTTTAACATTTTGTTTGCAATTGAATTGCTGAATAATTATTTAATTAACTAATGTTCAAATTAAAAAGGTACACATGAAAGTTCCATCCATGGACCTTTTTCTTTCTTCATTGATTGTTGTTTTGAAATTGGATAGAATAGTTGGATAAAGACAATGCAAACGTCTTTTCAATAATATTTTATATTTGGAGAGTGTTTGGTATAACATAATTGACTTAAAAATTATAATAATTTATACTCAGTAATTATATAGTAGTAATTTAAAAATTTTTGGTAGTAGTAATCTTAAATTATTGGGGTAATAAGATTATTACCTTATGGAGTGATCTAATTATCAATTTAAAGAATGAAGGAGTTTTACTATTATAAAAAAATAATTTTAAATATTATTTTTTGATTAATTTATTCTCATGAAAAATATAATTAACATTATCTCATAAAGCTAACCATTAAAATTTTTTAAAAAATTTTGATTTTTAAATCACTCATTCTAAAAAAATTTATGTTATAAATTTATTTTGGTTAAAAAAAAAGATAATAAATTTATTTAATAATTTTTTATTAATTATTTTTATAAAAATTGATTTATACTTTATAGTTTTCAATAAACTAACATATAACTATTTTATAAATTGTTAATTTGATAAATATCAAATAGTTTACCTTTTATAAGATTATTTTAGATATTTTATATTATATAATTTTTTCATATAATACTAAATATAACGATTTTAAAATATTAATAATTTATAATATTATATCAGATTTAATAATTTAATTTTATTGATGATCAAATGATTTTAATGATCTTATCATCATGATAAGTAGACCACTAGTGATCTAAAAAATTATACTAAACACTATCTTTGTGGATGTATTGGGATAGAATTAATGTGCGATGTTTTTATTAATTACTCTTTCTAATTTTTCCTATAGCTACTCCTTTCCTTCATTTAAAGCTGCTCTTTGTACTATATGGTAAAGATTGAATACCCTCTTAATGTCTTTAAACAAAGGCAAAAGACACCCCCCCCCCCCCAAAAAAAAAAAAAAAAACTATTTTCAGTAGGTTGACACTTCCCTAGCTATTAGGATATAATTGTCCTATAAATTGTGTATACTAAATTACTTATCTCCATTTTAAAATTTCTTTGGCCCAAAAACTTTTTAAATTTAAAATTTATTTGATATTTAATCGCTTTTCTTTTATTTTAGGTAAAACAATATGAATAATTAGCAACTACGTTTTGTTTCAACGACAAGGAAATCTAAAATCTTTGAATTTTAAGTTTAAATTTCATCATTTGCAAGTTTCATCTACTTAAAATGTTTATTGATTGTTGACTTGTTGTATATTGAAAAATTATTTAATTATTATTATAATTTTTACTGATATATATATATATATATATATATATACTTTCATAAAAAAACAAATTATAAATAATTCATGGTTTGTCAAGGATCATATGATAAAGACCTTTATCTGTGAAATTTCATGTATAAAGAGAATCATACCATTTTGTTAATTACATGTTTAATTTGACCGAGGAATTTCCAATTTTTTCTCTAAAGTTAGTTGGAGGAGCCAAGCAGCCCTTAAGAAAAAAAAAAAAAAAGGGATTTGGTCAAAATCCAAATGGATGGGTTGATATATTTGGACTTTTCTAGGGAGGTATCTTCCTTATTGGACAAGTAGTCGAGTAGAATTGCCCATGAAAGCCGGCCTTGGCGAGGCTAACAGTCAACCTTCCACCAAAACTTCCCGGTTTCTATGTCATCAGCACACACAGACACACGGATCATGAGGCCTACACGAGAATCATCTGAATCCTTCTCTAGGTTAGGTGTAATTAAAAGAAATTAAAAAAAAAAAAAGTTTTTGAGGAAGGAATGATGATCATGATATATATTTTTAATAATCCCATTTTACATGATAATTAATCAATTAAGATTAAAATTAAATTTGTCTATTTACTATGGATTAATACTGAATTTTATCTCTTACTTTAATTTCATTGAATTCCACTAATATATTTTTCAATTTTGTTGATTTTTAAATAAAAATTTATGAAATTCAACAAAATTTGCTAATTATATTAATGAAATATTCTATGAACTATTTCAATTTCGTTATTTTTTTTGAAATCTACAAAATTGAAGATATAGTGGTAAAATTCAACATTAAACCATAATATAGTAACAAATTTAACCTCGATCTCATTAAAATATTTCATAGTTAATTAATCATGATTTTTTTTTTTTGGGGGGCCAAGATCATGAGAGGTAAATATTAAAATCATGATGCTTCTTGACTCAATAATTATATCAAGTAGCCTTTTTAAGACAGGAAATATTATTCGCAAGTAAGAGTTAGAATATGCTAAATTTTGCTTATGAGGGGAACATCCCAAGAGAAATGGCAATTATTTGATTACTTGGTGGACTGTGAAAGAGCGGCTGATTT